GCTGTGGTACAATCACAGCTCACTGCAGCCTCGACCTCCACGGTTCAGGTGATCCTCCCACCTTAGTCTCCCAAGTAAGTTGGGACTACAGGCGTGTGCCCCCATGCCCTGCTAGTTTTTTGTGTTTTTAGTAGAGATGAGGTTTTGCCATGTTGCCCAGGCTGGTTTTGAACTCCTGAGTTTAAGCAATCTGCTCACCTGAGCCTCCAAAAGTGCTGGGGTTACAGGCATGAGCCACTGCTCCTGGCCTATTTTTAAAAATTTTTGTAGAGATGAGGTCTCACTATGTTGCCCAGGCTGGTCTAAAACTCCTGGGCTCAAGTGATCTTTCTGCCTCAGCCTCCCAAAGTGCTGACATTACAGGCAAGAGCCATGCCCAGTCACGCCCCCCATCTTTTTTAAACATTAAATAAAACTGTATGCCCATCTTGTAGATGAAAAAAATGAGGCTCAGGGAGGTTTCTGATCCTGCCATTAAGTGGTGAAGTCAGAATTTGAACCTGGATCTGATTCAGAGTCCTGTTCTCTCCACTGACTGGATCCTACTTCTTTGGGGGGCACACAGGGAAGGCCACAGTGATGGGGAATGGGCGCAGGGAGGCAGCTCTGGTGGGAATTCTCCCGAGGGAGCAGCCACACAGGGCCTGGCATGACACTGGTGGCCTGGCCTCACCCCTGTGGGGACCAGAACTTTGTGGATGCAGTTTTCCCTCCCCACTGGTTGCCATGGAGACGGGGGTGGGATGCGTGAAGATCTATCTCAAGCCTGCTACCCAGGCTTGTCCCAGAGACGCCGGCAGTGGGTGGACACACTAGCATTGAGAGAAAGGAAGGAAAAGGCTGGTCTTTACCTCTTTTTTTCTTTTTATTGTGAAAAGCTTCAAGCACACATAGGAATGGAGCCTGTGGTACAATAAGCTTGGCTTCAGCAGTCAAGTTCCAGCCAACCTTATTCCATCCACGCCCTCTTCCCCTTCCCTCATCCCATATTACTCTGAATCAAATTTCAGACGTCAGTCATTTCTTGTATAAACATTTCAGTGTGTAACTCCAAAAAAAATTTTTTTGGCCACCTTCACTCCTCCTCAAACTGTTTAGTAACAATAATGCTTTTACTATCAGCAAATATCCAGTTAGTATTCAGATTTCTCTGGTGATCTCATAAAACGCCTTTTTTTTTTTTTCGTGACGGAGTCTTGCTCTGTTACCCAGGCTAGAGTGCGGTGGTGTGATCTCAGCTCACTGCAACCTCCGCCTCCTGGGTTGAAGAGATTCTCCTGCCTCAGCTTCCTGAGTAGCTGAGAGTAGAGGTGCACACCATTGCACCTGGCTAATTTTTGTATTTTTAGTAGAGATGGGGTTTCACCATCTTGGCCAGGCTGGTCTTGAACTTCTGACCTTGTGATCTACCTGCCTTAGCCTCCCAAAGTGCTGGGATTACAGCCGTGAGCCACCGCGTAAAGTTCGAATATTGCCATCGGTTGGGATGGCTTTTGTATCTTTCCTAATCTGTAGGTTCTCTCCCCTTGTCTTTTTCTTCCCTTGCAATTTATTTGTTGAAGAAACTGGCTTGTTTGTTCTGTAGTTTCCTGTGGTCTGAATTTTGGTTATAGCATCTCCACAGAAGTGTCATGTGCTCCTCTTCCCGCTATATTTCTTAGAAATTGGTAGTTAGGTCTAGAAGCTCACTTAGATTGATGTTTCTTTCTTTTTTTTTTTTTTTTTTTGGTATGAGTACTTCCTATTGGTGGTTTTGTACTTCCATTCAAAGGCACATACTATCTGGTTGTTCCTCTTTGTGATGTTAGCAGCTATTGTTGATTTGTTGATGGTCGTTGTCTAGATCCACAATTCCTTCCTCTTTTTTTTTTTTTTTTGAGGGGTCTTGCTCTGTCACATAAGTTAGAGTGCAGTGGTGCAATCATAGCTGACTGCAGCCTTGACCTCCCAGGCTCAAGGGATCCTCCCACCTGAGCCTCCTGAATAGCTGGGACTACAGGCACATGCCCTCACCTGGCTAATTTTTTTTTTTTTTTTTGTAGAGACAGGGTCTTGTTGCATAGATAGGTCTATGTTGCCCAGGCTGGTCTTGAATTTCTGGCCTCCAGCAGTCTTCCCACCTCAGCCTCCAAAAGTATAGGGATTGCAGGGATGAGCCACTACACCTGGCCCATTATTTCATTAGAGATTACAACATGGTAGCATACTGATTCTATGATTCTGTCTTTGGTAGTGGACGTGTATCTATAAAAGGTATCAATGTATCAACTATTTGGCTACCACAGAGTATGGTTTGTACCAAAAAGGATAAATGCTTGTTTCCCTTTGACAGTTTTCAAAATGAGTTGGTTTTCCAATATCTTCCCAAGGTGATAAATTAATTTATTTTTCTTTTTTTTTTAAGTATTGTCAACTCATAGATTTGGACATATACGATATGTTTCAATCCATTACAATCAGTATTCTTTTTTTTTTTTTTTTTGAGATAGGAGTCTTGCTCTGTCACTCACCTAGGCTGGAGTGTAGCGGCACAATCTTGGCTCACTGCAACTTTCACCTCTTGAGTTCAAGTGATTCTGCTGCCTCAGCCTCCCAAGTAGCTGTAATTACATGTGTGCGCCATCACACCCAGCTACTTTTTTATGTTTTTGGTAGAGATGGGATTTCACCATGTTGGCCAGACTTCAAGTGATCCACCCACCTTGGCCTCCCAAAGTGCTGGGATTACAGGTGTGAGCCACCTCACCTGGCCTACAGTCATTATTCTTAATGATGCTCAAACTGTCCCATTGGGAGCCACTCCACGTTGTCTCCTGCATCCTTTTCAATATGACCCTGGAAGTCATTGACACCTTCCTTGCTATCAACAAAGCAAGGAATGACCAGATATTCCAGGCTCATCTTGAATTTTTTCTTAACTCAGACCTGGAATTGGTCATTTCTCCATGCCCTCGTTTCTAGTCAGAAGTGGTGTTTAGAAACCATAACCTGGGTGCTGGGGTGTCCACTGCCACTGGATGGCTCATTATTTCTAAACTTTGTGGTGGACAGAGCTAGCAAACACCTGCTTTACTTTGTAAGACAAAAATATAGTACGAATTCATACTGATGCTTCCAATTCCAATTTGGGGCTACAGGTTTTTCACCTTGTCTCTGTGATCTTACGTGGGCATCTCCTTTCTTCCATGACCATGTGACAAAGCCTGTTTGTAAAAGCAAAGCTCCCCACTGTGATTCTCATCAAGCTGGAAGCGTGTGAGAAAGCACTTAAGTTTCTTCCCTCGGATATGAACCTGAGCTCTCTGATGAGGTAGTTTAGAAGTGGCCCTGGGAGAAGCCTACTTCTTGGTCACAAGAAACTGCGTTCTCATGGCAGATGAACCAGCTGCTTTCAGCGTCCGCTATGTGGGTCCTCACACCTAACTCCTTTACATACTGGCTGCACACTGGCATCACATGGGGAAGTATAAACACCTCTGATGCCTGTCCCCACCCAGCTTAATCACAGTGAAGTCAGTCAGATTCTCTGGGCCTGGGACCCTTCCATCATTTTTTAAAAAGAATTGCAGGGGCCGGGCACGGTGGCTCACACCTGTAATCCCAGGACTTTGGGAGGCCGAGGCAGGCAGATCACGAGGTCAAGAGATCAAGACCATTCTGGCTAACATGGTGAAACCCTGTCTCTACTAAAAATACAAAAAATTAGCCTGGCGTGGTGGCGGGTGCCTGTAGTCCCAGCTACTCGGGAGGCTGAGGCAGGAGAATGGCGTGAACCTGGGAGGCACAGCTTGCAGTGAGCCAAGATCACGCCACTGCACTCCAGCCTGGGAGACAGAGAGACTCCGCCTCAAAAAAAAAAAAAAAAAAAAATTACAGGTAGGCCTAGCATGGTGGCTCACGCCCATAATCCCAATACTTAGGGAGGTCAAGGCAGGTGGATCACCTGACGTCAGGAGTTCGAGACCAGCCTGGCGAAACCCCATCTCTACTAAAGATACAAAAATTAGCTGGGCATTGTGGCAGGCGCCTATAATCCCAGGTACTTGGGAGGCTGAGACAGGAGAATTGCTTGAATCTGGGAGGCAGAGGTTGCAGCGAGCTGAGATTGCACCACTGCACTCCAGCCTGGGTGACAGAGCGAGGCTCTATCTAAAAAAAAAAAAATAATTCTAATGTTAGCCAGGGTAAATCACTGCCTGTCCTGCTCTCAGCAGAGGAAAAAAAGAAGTGGCGGGCGGTGCAATGTAATCCAGCACTTGGAGGCCGGACGGGCGGTATAGTCAGGATCGGACCATCCTGGCTGACCGGTGAAACGTCTACTAAAAAAAAAAAACTAGCGGCGAGTGGCGGCGTGTAGTCCAGATACTCGGAGCTGAGGCGGAATGGCGGAACGGATGGACTGCAGTGAGCCGAATTGGCACTGCCTCAGCTGGGCAGAGGAGATCGTCAAAAAAAAAAAAAAAAAAAAGAAGCAACACGGCTGGCAGATGAACTCTGCCTTCAAAGCCCATTAGCTTGGGCTTGAATTCTGGCACTGCCAGGTTCTAGCTATGAAATCTGAACCCAGCCGGGCGTGGTGGCTCACGCCTGTAATCCCAACACTTTGGGAGGTTGAGGCAGGTGGATCCCCTGAGGTCAGGAGTTCAAGATCAGCCTGGCCAGTGAAACCCCATCTCTATTAAAAATACAAAAATTAGCTGGGCATGGCGGCATGCACCTGTAGTCCCAGCTACCCAGCAGACTGGGGCAGGAGAATCGCTTGAACCCAGGAGGTGGTGGTTCCAGTGAGCCGAGACTGCACCATTGCACTCCAACCTGAATGATAGAACAAGCCTCCATCTCAAAAAAAAAAAAAAAAAAAAAAGGAAATCTGAGTCAGTGCTGATCAATAGCACTCGCGCAACCTTCAAATGGTCTATATCTGCACTGTCCAACGTGGTAGCCATCAGCTACACAAGGCTGCTGGGCACTTGAACTCATTGTTAGTGCAACCTAGGGAGTCAACTTTAAAATTTATTTAATTTTAACTAATTTACACATCAATAGCCACAAGGAGCCATAACAGCTACTGTCTTGGACAGCACCACTCTAGAAAATGACCGAACGTCTCGTGGCTTCACATCCATAAAATAGGGAATAATAGGGGTTATTTCACGGGATATTGTCAGGATTAGTGTCAGGATTAGATATAATATATATAAAGTTCCTGGTTCCCACAAAGCACTCAATAAAATGCTGCTTATTTATTAACATCAGTCTGATACTCAAGAAAAAAAAAAATTGCCTGGAAAACAAATGTTCAGAAGCACCCTGTCACAGAGGCTAGAAATTCAGAGCCGTTCCAGAGAAACTCGGAAAATATTCCTTAATTGTAGAAGGTCAATTGCAGCAGGAGGTTATCAGTTACAAGGGCTGTATTTCATTACAGATCCAGCCGCAGCTCAATAAATTAAGCAATCACTCAGAATAACATGTTGCTTTAATCCCCTCTCTTGGAGCTGTTCCAAGTTGTTTGGTTTTATACGCGCTCAGCCCTGAAAGGGGACTCATACTGGGCTCATTTCTTTCCCCTCAATTCTTCAGCCCCTCTCTGGAAACATCTTTGCATCTTCCAACCAGCAGGAGAGAGGATTCCAAGCCAAGCAGGCCTCCTTTTATCAAAACCGGAGCCTTTTCCATCCTCTGGCCTTGACGCGTTCCACGTTTCATTTGCTGAAATTACTGGCAGGTTTATCTGCAATGAAAAAAAAAAGACACCTCTTAGCAGCCCAGTTCTGGGCGTGTAGAGAGAGCTAACTCTCGGCGGGTTTTCCATTCTCATCTTCTCTCGAGTGGTTTATAATCTCACAGCAGAATTTTGCTTCCCCTAGAAACTTGGCACGGGAGGTGTCAGCCTGGGAACATATTTGTTTGTGTAAATTAAAAGAAGAATATGTTTTGACCATATTTAAGTTCTAACTGCACTAAAGAAATAAATACTGACTTGCACAACGCTTCTCACTGCCACACGGTTCTGGCTCACCTCCCCAAACTCTGCCTTTGTTAATAAAACCTACACTAACAAGAGCTCTAAATAGCTTATGTCCTCAGACAGCTACAGGGACAACCTCAGAGGCCATGTCTGCCTCGACCCAGGCCCACATAGAAAATCCACTTACCTCATGTGGGATTTGCTTCTCCTGACACACCGCATTCTTGCTGGGGTAGAAAAGGGTGTCAGAAACAGCACCCTCACCAATGTAGGTTTGTTTTTTATGATGGGGGAGAGACAGGGTCTTACTTTGTCACCCAGGCTGGGGTATAGTGCTACAATCACAGCTCACTGCAGCCTTGACCTCCCGGGCTCAAGCGATCCTCCTGCGTCAGCCCCCCAAGTAGCTGGGACTACAGGCATGCACCACTATGCCTGGCTAATATTTGTATTTTTTGTAGAGACAGGGTTTTGCCATGTTGTTCAGGCTGGTCTTGAACTCCTGAGCTCAAGCCATCCTCCTGCCTCAGCCTCTCAAAGTGCTGGGATTACAGGCGTGAGCCACCAAGCCCAGCCTCTACAGGTGTACCCTTGATGTGCACGTGAATGGTAACCTTTTGAAGGCCCTGGACAATAGCTGTAGAAATTTACAATGCACACCTCTTGGCTGGGAGCAGGGGCTCACATCTGTAATCCTAGCACTCTGGGAGGCTGAAGGATGGCTTGAGCTCAGGAGTTCAAGACCACCCTGAGCAACATGGTGAGACCCTGTCTCTACTAAAAAATACAAAAAAATTAGCTGGGTGTGGTAGTGCATGCCTGTAGTCCCAGCTATTTAGGAGGCTAAGGCAGGAGGACCACTTGAGCCCAGGAGGTGGAGGTTGCAGTGAGTCATGATCGTGCCACTGCACTCCAGCCTGGGCAACAGTGTGAGACTGTCTCACAAAAAAAAAAAAAAAAAGAAAAAGCACATCTCCTCTGACCAAGAAATTCCACTTCTAGGAATTTATCCTACAAGTATTCTTGGTCACATGCCAAAGACTATAGATGTTATAAAGGCAAAATCCTCGAGTTAACTGAAATGTTGGCCAGTAGAAGACAGGTTAAGTATGATGCAATGCTAGGAGTCATTAGAAAGAATGAGGTGGGTCTAAGAGCTGTCGAGATATATTATATACCCCCAACTTTCTTACCACTATGAACCAAAAAAAGTGCATGCTTTCAAAATTTATAAAGATTGTGCAAACTGCCCACAGTGGTTGTCTTATAAAGTGAAGTTGGAGTTAAAGAAAAATTGCAGGGCAGGCGTGGTGGCCCAAGCCTATAGTCCCAGCACTTTGGGAGGATGAGGTGGGAGGATTGCTTGAGGCCAGGAGGTCAAGACTAGCCTGGACAACATAGTGAGACCCTGTCTGTACAAATAATAAGAATAATAATAATTAAATAAAAATGGTGGTATGAGCCGCTACTCTGGAGGTTGAGGCAGGAGGATCGCTTGAGTCCAGGAGTTCATGGCTGCAGTGAGCCATGATCACACCACTGCACTCCAGCCTGGGTGACAGAGTGAGACCCTGTCTCTAAACACAATAAATTAATTAAAAAGGCAAATCGTCCCTTTATTTCCACCTTATTCTCTTTTGTATTTTTTTTTCACTATAGGCATAGTGTCATTTTTAAAATTTGGCACAATTAAAGAACATACAATGGTGTTTTAAAAATCATTTCCACACTCTGTGCTCTGTAATAACAATACCGCAATAATACTCTCTTTATTGCATGCCTGCTAGGACAATGGAGTTGGGGGGAGGTGAGAATCTCTGCTTTTCTGATTTATTTATGCAGATAACCTGCAGTAGGCTAAATAGCAGTCCCCAGAGAGAGAGTAAGTATGTCTACTTTCAAATTGAATCCCTGGAAAAAGACTGATTAAGGATCTTGAGAGGAGGCATTTGTTCTGGATTATCCAGATGGGAACTAAACGCAATCCATGTATCCTTCTAAGAGAGAAGCAGAGACCAGGACAGAGAGAAGAGGAAGATAAGAAGACGGAGGCAGAGACTGGAGTGATGTGGCCACAAGCCAAGGAACGCCAGAGCCACTAGAAGGTGGAAAAGACAAGACACACATCTTGCGTTGTGTGCCTGGAAGGAGTGCAGCCCTGCTAGATTTCCAACTTCTGGCCACCATAACTTTGAAATGAATCTGCTGTGTTAAGCCCTGTGGTCTGTGATAATTTGTTATAGCAGTCCCAGGAAAAAAAGATATAACCAGACGTCCCTTATACCTGTTAGAAGCATGAAATGCACAGGTACATGAGAAAACAAGTTTGATAGACCTGTTTGTGTTGGCAAACACAAATAATCCATTCATTACAGACACTTACTGAGCATCTATTAGGTGACAGGCACAGTTCTAGGTGCTGAGGATACAGCCAGGATAGAACACAACAAAGAAGCGTGCCCGCCTGGAGCTGACATTTCAATTAGGGAGAAATCAACAAAATAAATAGAACACGAAGGAGGGTGGATGGTGGTAGAAGGTGCTACAGAGAGCGAGGAAGCAGAAAAGAGGGACCAGGGGGTGAAGGAAGGGGGATTGGAGTAGAGGCTTGAAGGTGGTGAGGGCATGAGGGGTGTGTCTACCTGAGGGAAGACAAGTAGAAAAAGGAAACTAGGGACTGGGCACAGTGGCTCAGGCCTGTAATCCCAGCACTTTGGGAGGCCAAGGTGGGTGGATCACTTGAGGTCAAGAGTCTGAGACCAGCCTGATCACCATGGTGAAACCCATCTCTAGTTAAAAAAAAAAAATATATATATATATATATATATAAAAAACATATATTATATATAAAACATATATATATTTTATTTTCCCTCCTCCTCTCTGGCATCCAGGCTTTAAAGAGGTGGACTTGTCACTACCAGTGGTCTCAGACAGTAAGGCCAATAAGCAGAGAGGAGGAGAAATGAAAGATGAGGTGAGGGGGATAAGGCAGGAAAAAAACCCAGAGCTTCCAGTCCCTGAATCATAGAGAGCAACACAATATATTATATATATAAAACATATAAAATATATATTATATATAAACATAAAACATGTGTAAAACATACATTATATATATATAATATATACACACACACACAGACACACAAAATTAGCTGGGCATAGTGACGCACGCCTGTAATCTCAGCTACTTGGGAAGCTAAGGCAGGAGAATTGTGTGAACCCAGGAGAGGGAGGCTGCAGTGAGCTGAGATCACGCCATTGCACTCCAGCCTGGGCAACGACAGCAAAACTCCACTAAAAAAAAAAAAAAAAAAAAAAAAGGAAAAAGGAAAACAGGCAGAGGGAACGAATACGGAACTTGAGCCTAGGAGTGACACATGAAAATAGGAAGGAACTCCCTTTTTCCCTCCTTCTTCCTCCCCCACCTCCCTCCCATACTTGCTATCTGCCTGCTGCGTACCAGGGCCTGGGGTACAGAGATGAATGAGGCCTCGTTCTCAGGTTCGATGCCTTCCCTAGTAGGGGGACAGTCATAAACAGATCATTACAAATATAATGTGGTAGGCGTCACAGCAGAGGACAGGGCAGGCTGCACGCGCAGGTCAGCGTGGGAAGGTGCGTGTGCGTTGGGGTTAAGGTTGGGGAGGTGGGAGTAAATTGATTAGGGCAGGACTTGAAATTGCAGCACATGTGTTGAGCTGCAGTTCAGCTGGAAATTAACAGGAGGGGCGGTGGTGAACATGGAGATGGGTCTGGGATTCTTTTATTTTTAAGTACAGTCGGCACATCGGGACAGGAATATCAGTTCTGAGAATGACCTATCCCTTTCAGTTCTACACAATCCATGAAAAGGAAAACAGTTCCCAAGTCCTGAATTGGGACACTGTGGGTTGCAAACGGCAGACACTGAAGTTGATCTGAATGAGGTAGAACGAGGCATTTATTCACTGGGTAGCTACGATGAGGAAAGGGAAGAGGCTCTATTGCTCTCTACGATCCAGGGACAGAAAGCTCTGGGTTCTTTTCCTGCCTCATCCCCCTCACCTCATCTTTTATTTCTCCTCCTCTCTGCTTATTGGCCTTAATGTCTGAGGCCACTGGTAGTGCCAAGTCCACCTCTTTAAGGCCTGGATGCCAGAGAGGAGGAGGGAAAGGAACACCCTCCCCACAAGCTCTGCAGACAATCCTGAATTTGCTCTGCTTGAGTCACATGACTACACCTGGACCAGTCACTGCATCCCGGCTCAGAAGTGGGCTGCTATGATTGGTCGTGGTGGGTCACATGTCTACGCATGGACCAATTACTGTAGCCGAGAAACAAGTACTGTGGGTGGCCATTTTTGGCCATCTTCCCATGGTACTGGGGGGTCTGTTATCAGAAGTTGGGGAGTGTGTGCTGGCAGGAACAAGAAGAGCCGCCTGCCTCCCTCAGGGCCTTCTGACTATGTTACTGCTCCATTCATTCTGCTGGGAATCGTCTCAATCTTGAGCCAGACTCTGCTTGAAGATCCCAGTCTGGTTGTCTACAAACCCCAGAGCTGCCAGCTGGGATTTACTCAGACCTGTTGCTGTAGTTCTTTTTTGTCATTGTCATTACGTGATTTTGATCAGATTTAAAATGGACTTTTAGTCATTGGTTTATGATTGCCTCTGCTCATAAGCGTCGGACCCTCATCTGTCTTGTTGATGACGATACAGCTCATGCTCAGTCCCCAGCGCCTATGTACAGTAGGTACACAGGTAGTGAAATGAATGAACATCCTCCAGGGAACGGGAGGAGCTGCACGGTTCTCATCTGTTCTCAATGAGTCCCTTTCTGCCACCGTCTCCGCACCTTTCCCAGTCACCCTATACCCCTTCATGACAAGGCTCTGTTAGTGTAAGTGCACCTTGCGTCCTGTTAGTATAAGTCTCTGGATGTCAGCCCAACACACACTGGAGGTTCCGAATCTCTGGGTGTTTTGAGTAAAGATGATCCTTTGGCAAAGCTAATGGAGTTCTGTCTGAGCTCAGAGGGACTGGGCGCCATGACTGGTTGGCAGTGTCTCCCGTGGCCACCTGCCCTGTTGGGCATCCCTGGTCCTGCTCTGTGTCGTTTGCTAACCAGGGGACTTGTTTTTAAGACTGCAGCCCAGTCATCTGCTGGGATATCACAGTACACTCAGAATCCAGGACAAAATGGTGTGGCCAAATAAAACAACTGTGGGCTCTTAGGGAAGAAGTCTTAAGACAAATGGTTATTTTTCTTAAGTGTGCATGACCCACATGTCAGCTGGGGTCATCTTATTTTTGGAAATTCAAACAAAATGGCGTTGAATCTTGTCCCACATGCCAGAGAAGACCCAACTATCCTTGGACTCTTTCCAGGGATTGGAGGTGAGAGGTGCTTCTGTCTTACCCAGACGCCTAAGGCTCTATAAATTCCTGTGTCCCCTTAATCACTTCTGCTTGGGCACCTTTTTGCTGGCCTCAGGAGAAGCCTAGCTGTCAGAGGCATGGAACGTGTGCAGTGATACAAGCTCGCGCTGTTGCTGTCTTCAACTTTATTATAATTTTTGAACAAAGGGCTTCCCGTTTTCATTTAGCCCTGGGTCCTGAAAATTAGGTAGCCAGTCCTGCCCCACTCGGGGGCTGTTCCTTTCCTACCCCACATTGATTCTGCCCCAATTCCTCTATTCTCCCTAAATCCCATCGCACACAAGGATGTGGGTGTAGGAGACTTGGAAGCTTTGGGACAAAAGAAAATGTTGACCTCTAAGACACAGAAACAACATCAAGTGCAATGTTTGAGCTGCCTCTAAAATACTCAGTTGGGAACAACACAGTTGGGAACAACACAGGCTAAAGCTGAGAAGTGTCGAACCTGAATGAAGGGTACTGGGTGCCTGTTACATACCACGTACTACTTTCAGGTATGGTGGGAAATTTCTGTAGTACAAAGTGGTGTAAATAAATTTTATTTATTTATTTATTTATTTAGAGACAGGGTTTGGCTCTGTTGCCCAGGCTGGAGTACAGTGGTATGATCATAGCTCACCGTAGTCCCAACCTCTTGGGCTCAAGTGATCCTCTGGCCTTGGCCTCCCAAAGTGTTGGGATTATAGGTGTGAGCCATCACTCACAATTTAAACTCTATAATACAAAGTTTAAAAAGGCAGTAAAGCCAGGCACAGTGGCTCATGCCTGTAATCCCAGCACTTTGGGAGGCCGAGGCAGGCGGATCACAAGGTCAGGAGATTGAGACCATTCTGGCTAACACGGTGAAACCCTGTCTCTACTAAAAATACAAAATATTAGCCGGGCGTGGTGGCAGGCGCCTGCAGTCCCAGCTACTCGGGAGGCTGAGGCAGGAGAATGGTGTGAACCCAGGAGGTGGAGCTTGCAGTGAGCTGAGATGGTGCCACTGCACTCCAGCCTGGGCGACAGTGTGAGAGTCCATCTCAAAAAAAAAAAAAAAGGCAATAAAAGCCAAGCACAGTGGCTCATGCCTCTAATCCCAACATTTTGGGAGGCTAAAGTGGAAGGATCATTTGAGCCTAGGAATTCAAGACCAGCTGGCAACATGGCAAGACCTCATCGCTACAAAAAATAAAAAATTAGCCAGGCATAGTGGCATGTGCCTGTTGGTCCCAGCTACTCGGGAGGCTGAGGCAGACAGATGGCCTGAGCTCAGGAGTTCAAGGCTGTGGTGAGCTGTGATCGCGCCACTGCACTCCATCCTGAGTGACAGAGCCAGACCCCATTTCAAGAAAATAAAAACAAAAATTAAAAAGGCAATATATTAAGACTTGCCCCTGGCAGTTCCTCAAAATATTAAACATAATGTTGCCTTATGGCCCAGCAATTCTACTCTGACCTGTATGCCTAAGAGAAATGAAAGCATCTGTTTACACAAAGTCCAACACACGAATGTTCATTGCTGCATTATTCATAGCAGCCAAAAAGTGTAAACAACCCGTATGTCCATCACTGACAGTGGATAAGCAAAATGTTGGTCCGTCCATAAAATAGAATATGATTCAACTGTAAGAAAGAATGAAGTTCTGATCCATGCTACAGTGTGGCTGAACCTTGAGAATGTCATGCTAAGTAAAAGGATCCAGTCACAAAGGACCACATTAAGAGTGTGATTGCACTTATAGGAAATGTGCAGAATAAACAAATCCACAGGGGCAGAAAGTAGATTCGTGATTGCTCAGGGTTGGGGG